GTCCTTCCCCAAACCACATACAAAAACATACCAAAATGACCTGCAAGAGAAATTGCAACAAGACGTCTGACCCAAAAGCCGTTGCTCCCGAATATGAAAGAAAAATAAGTATAAACCATACAAAGCGGGGCTAACTCCTTATTTACGTGCCGGAGATGTCAATCGAAGATTAGAATTTTGTAGATGATATTTAGAAAAATTAAATAGTCTGCTGTTTGTTCAAAATGTTATCTGGACCGAAGAAGTCTCTGAGTGTTCAAAGAAGCTTGGGGTTCAATGTATGGTGTGCCCTTTTAGATAATAGAATTTTGCCATATAGTATCTACCATAAAAACTTAAACTCAGAGAAATACCTCAATATATTAAGGCAGCACTTGAGCCTTTGGTCGACAATTTGGCACTAAATATGTCTCAAATGATATATTTTCAATATGACGGAGCACCAGCACATAATGCCAGAGTTGTTAGTGAATTTTTAAATACTACTACAAACTCCTTGCTACAAACTTTGACAATAATTGGAAACAATGCTTTCCCTCATGGTATGGTTATCACCATAACAACATTAAGTTTTAAATACATACAATAGTTTTAGAAAGAACAAAAAAAATTGATACATTATATTCCATCATAGTATGTATGGTTATCACTAGGGCACGAAACTTTTGTAACAAAACGATACGATTTCCCCCCTCCACTTGTTCTCATTGGCTAGTTTTCTAGGAAGCCACTGAGAACAAGTGGAGGGGGGAAATCGTATTCTTTTGTTACAAAAGTTCCGTGCCTTAGTTATCACCATAGCAACATTAACTTTTAAATACATACATTAGATTTAGATGGAACAAAATGAATTTTTGTTAATTATTCAATAACTATAAGAAATATACCCCACAAACTATATATATTTGTTATCAGAAGAAAATAACAAATTATTTTAAGTCATAGTTAACTATGGTTTCCATTTAAAAAAATAAAGTTACGTCTAAAATCTCAAAAATAAAAGATGGGAGAAAAATTCTACCTACGCCACTGAATTCTTCGTAAAAAGTTACCCATATAATATTTTATTTATAATACTCCATCTTTGATAATAAGTGAAATATTCGCGATTGTCGTTTTTGCAAAATTTTCAGTTTTTGCCGATAGGGCGAAAACAAAAGACGATAGCTGTTCGGAGTTTTCGGCATTAGCATTTTCTCGAAAAACGAGATCATGACATGTAAGCTACTTTTTTTCTATCTCTTTTAGTTTCGGAGATAGCCTATGCGGACATCGAAATTGGGATACCCTGTACACATCTACAACATAAAACCAATGATATCATAAATCTGTCTGTATCATCTAACAAAATCCGAGGGGCCCTTTAACGAAGCTTGTTTTAACAATATCCATCTATGAAGATTGTGCTTCGGCCTGAGGTGGCTCATTTTCCTTATTACAAAGCGTCAGTTTAATTCGCCGAATTGTTCTCTCGAATTTCGCTGTCATTGCTGCTATACGACTGATAACCTAGTCAAAACAAAATGGATATCTTCCTGTCGCCTTTTCACTCTAGCAAAATGTGATAATATTCTGCAGTATTGTGAGCGCTTCGCTCTGCTCGGATTTTCTTTTAGGCATGTTTGTAATATAAGTATCTAAATTGTGAAAATAAATGATATACATACATATTTGACACGTTAACATTAACATTACTGACCTGAAAATCAGATAAGAAAGGCTATTGCTCTCAATAGAAATAAACTTGATAAACTAACAAATCTACAAGATACAAAGCCATAACCTAACTCAAGTAACGCTGTCAAATGTAAGAAATACACATATCTTATTTGGTGACTTGACTGTACTAGAGCTGAATATATAGGTCAAGGAGGTGAGGGGCAAGGGATTTCCGATAATAGTTGGCATATTTTCCGCCGGCCAAATCTAACTGGTCGCACAATAATATGTTTTTCAAAGGAATATGAATTTCATCATAATATGTTTTCAAGCATTCATATGTTGATGTACTTTTAGTATCAGTGACTAGAAATTTACAGAATAACATCTTTTATGTACCTAACTTAAGCCATTAATAGTACATCACTATCTCGCACAGTACTTTTATCTAATTGTATTGTGAATTCTCGTGTTTGAAGATCCATAATTAATTGATTTTCAACGTCATTGGCTATTTCATTACTCCTTGATATAGTAGTGTCATTACTCAAAGGAATCATTGACATAATATTATCTGGATCAACTGAAGTCATCGGAAGAACTTCTTTTATAACGGGTTTTAATAATTTTTCTCCAATGCTGTGAGGTTTTGCATTTTGAGCGATTATTCTTGCAATCTTGTAGGATAGTTCCAATCCCTTACTTACATTTGAAATATTTATTTTAAATACATCGGTTATTTTGCTTCTTTATTCAAAATTAACTTTTAACATCTTAAAGTAATCAATATCTTTTTCTTTCTTGTCAGGATGTTTTTTACTACTATTTAAATGTTCAACCATACGCGATGGTTTCATTGCTTTATTGGAAAACAGTTGATTGGGGCGGCAATTGTTGAACTGTCATATTTTAATTTAAAAAAATTAATTTTGTAAGTCCCTCTGAGGAACAGAAAAAAGTGAGAATAAGCGGGCTTATTATTTATTTATACAAGAATGTGTTGGAACACAACGTACAACAATAAAACTAAACAAAGCATAGAAATACAGAAGATTCACAGAAAATACCCATACGTTTCTTTAAAGCTTTTGCAGTTTTCTTTAAAATAAATACACAAATAAATATTTGCCCCCGTAAAGAAGTCATCGTCCCCCAAAAACGGTTAATGAAATAATCGCCCCTAATAAATGTGTAAACGATATTGCCCACGTTGAGAAACACTGGATTAGAATATCGAATTGCACACATTTTTTTTTTTTTCATATTTATTACCAAAGCGATTGCATTAACCACATCGCTTTTATTGCAAAGATACTGTTAAAACAGTATTTAGACTAGAAGTTCTCAATCTTTTTCGATTTGCGGCTCCCTAAATAATCGATTTTTTTTCCGCGGCGTCCTTAACATGTTCACGTACAGTAAAAGCATTCATCCCATTTAGCACCATTATAAAAATGAATATATCTATAGCATTCACGTCCGCGAACGTCCGCAAACTATTCTAGATTCTTATTCCATGTTTCTTCAATTTCCTTGTGCATACAATTATTTGCGAGATCAAAACATTTTAACATTGTCGTGCCCCCAATATTTAAAATCTATATGTACAGCGTGGGCAAATTTGGGTATACCATACATGCGATACATCATTGGAAAGCGAAAAATATGCTCTTTTCATTAGCATCATAATCAAGTATAGTTTGTATTTAAAAAAATACAACTTTGTGTTGTATCTCAAAAATCAACAAATATTTTTAAAATTTTTCAACGGCAGTATATTCTACAATTGGACAAAAGAAGATAGAGGTTTGGTGTTTGCGGGATTGGGTTAGTCTCGAAAAAAGAGACCGGGACATGGCACCTACTTTTTTCGTATCTCTTATAGTTTCTGAGATAGCCTATAATAACACCCAAATTTGCCCACCCTGTACAACAGAAAATAATTCCTCTCTAGGTATTAATGTTAATACTATAAAATATTTAAAATCTAAACTTGTGCTGTTATCAAGTAAAGATAAATATGTTAACTTACTATTAGATGAAGTGTGTGTCAAATCGACAGTGCACTATGAGGCTGGATCTGAATCCCTTATTGGTTTTAGCAGTAATGCTCCCAGTTCTGTAGCAAAAGGTTCCCCCTTCAGGTTTTCATGATTTCTTCAATATTATCAAATTATAAAGAAGTAGTTGCAATATTTCCAATTAACAAGTTAAACGCAGAATTTTTACATTAGATGATAATGGATGTAATTCAAGTAGTGAGTGCAGTTGATTTTCAAATCGTATCAATAATAAGTGATAATAATCGAGTCAATAGAAAAATGTTAAAAACATTATGCGGAGGTGCAATAACGCTTTACATATTTAATAAGTATCTTCCGGACACCAAAATATTTATATTAACTGATAATGTGCATAATGTAAAGAACTTTCGAAATAATTGGATAAATAAAATGACGTTTAAATTTATATCTCCAACAGTATGTACTGCATCTTTTGATCATCTACGAAAAATTTATAATATTGAAAAAGATAATTTGTTGAAATATTCACCTAACTTGAATATAAGTCAATGTACACGTTAAAATTTTGTCGTAAAACAATTTTAACGTGTAACTCGTTCGTCTCAATGATTTTAACTTTTAATTCCACATTTTAATTTAATTAAACGCAATAATTTCTGTGTAATCTGTTCAATAACGTTTTTGGTTTATCCACTTCATAAACAACAAATGTAATTCGCTCTGATGAAGGTTGTAATTCGACAACCGAAATATATTAGCAAATTGTAAAAAGTTGTTCCTGTGCTTATTTGACGGTTCACCCTGAATAGATCGTTTTAAATATTAATTTAAGCCATTTTAATTGTAATTGCAATAATTTACTCAAAATAATCGAAAATAAAGTTTCATCAATTTTATCCAATATATTTTTAAATAACTACAGTAAAATTATAAACAATACAAAATCTTCTGAAAATATTAGAAAAGTTAAAAAATTTAACTCAAATTAACATATAATACCCATTTTTAGATGTATGAGGTCATCGTAAGGCGACTAGAACGGCTACGATGCTATTATGCCGTCTTTGTTTGCGTAGCCAGTCCTTCGAATCCCCACTACGACCCGACGGCCTGTATTTCTAGTAGGCTTTGCCTTAATACAATAAAATACAAAACCTAACTGACCTAACCTCAATTTATAAAATAAAACAAAACACTGCTATTTTACAAGGACACAAAAGAGAAAAGTGCGCATGCGTCACGTTATGACCGATTGTTTTAGCTTTAAGAAGTTAAAAGTTGGGCAACTCTTGGGACTAATAGGATGTCAAACTTAACGGCTGTAGCCGTAACCTTAGCCGTAGCCGTAGTGGTAAGAAAAGTTAAACCAATGTGTTTCAATAGCACCGTTTAGGGAACCGCTTAAGGCTACGGCCGATGTAGCCGTAACACCTAAAGTTGGCCAACTTTTAACTTCTTACGTTTAGGACAAAATTTGAGCATGCGCACTAATACGAAGGGTCAATGTTAAACATGACTATGTACAGCTGTTTTGTGTTTACGCATTGACGTCACGGGCTGGTGTTTCAGTACTCGTGTATTTATTAGTTATAAATGTCGAATTTGACGGAGCAATTTGACGCAAAATTAATCGAACTTGTGCAATGTAATGAATGTCTGTACGACCCACTATCACCAAACCACAAGAATAAAATAATTTTGGAAAATACTTGGTTGAAAATAGCAACCACATTGCAATCTACAGGTAAATTGATTATAGTAAGAAAATTTTAACCGTTATCTGTACTATGTTCGTTATATTTATAGTTGAACAGTGCGAAAATCGCTAGAAAAACTTGAGACAACATTATGGAAGATGTAGTAAGCAAAAACCGTCCGGATCTGCTGCCGAACCAAGTTGGGTGCATTTTAAGAGTTTGTCTTTTTTATCTACAATTATCAGGCGCAGGTAATGTTCCTTGTTTTTGTTTAAATACTTTATTATAGTTGTGGTGAAATCTAAATAAGTCAATCATTTAAATATATATCTTCAATTGTGAAAATATTAACAAAATAAATAATTTATTTATCTACATCAAAAAATGCACATTTTATAAAGATATAATATTGTGTGCATTTACATAATTTTTAATACAATTCTTTTTAACTCAACATCAATTTTTAAACTTTTCTATTCAAAGGATCATTCATTTATTATATTACATTTATTGTGTTTTAGATCTAAAAAGCCCGTTTTGTAACCACGGCCCATAGAATATGATCACCACCCTGCCATAGAAAATTCTGAGTCATTGTCACAAACTGATAATATATTTGAATCTCTACAACTCCCTCCCAAAATATCACCAACACCACTTGCTATTCCAGTATCAGAGCTATTATCCACAGAATATTCAGTCCCATCACCGTTACCTCCAATCCCATCAACTTCCGAAATTTCTAGGCCACCATCTCCCCTAATACCACCTGAACCATTATGGACCTCTCCTCCCACCAAAAGAAGAAAAAAAACCGACACAGTTGATAACTTGGCCGACACAATTTCAAAATCGATGGACCAAATATCAAAATTTATAGTGGAAGACGATACAAATACAACATTTGGAAAACTGGTAGGCCAGCTATTAAACGAGAAACCACCCGGGTTACAAAACAAGTTCAGAATAAAAATATTACAACTTTTTGATGGTGATGATTGTTAATATTGTCTTAAGTTTTATTTAGCTGTGTTTTGCGCTGGTTTAGTTTTATTTTTTCTCGTTTTCATACATCTTTTTCTTTTTGCAATAAAATGTCATTGTATTTCTTGTGATTTTTATATGTACATATGTTATAAGTTAAGTATAAATTTTTTAATACGTTATATTTGTTTTAACGATAAAGTTTTATTTCTTTTTAAGTAAAATGTGTTAAAAATAATAAATATGTTAAAAAAACTTCTTGTTTAATCTCGATAACTTAATATTATTGAATTGCAGGTTATAAAATAATATACAATTATTACTTAATAAAAATAACAAAATATTATAGAAAAAATATTAAAAAGGATTTATTGTCCAGTTCTTGACACATACTTCAATTGCCAAATAACTGCACCTTCATTATTGAAATACTGACACAATAAGTTTCGATTTTCCATGCATTTTCTTGAAGAATTGTTGCTCCCTAATCGTTGTACACCTTCTAGCGGAAATGATTCTGAACGCCATTGTCCTTCGATTATTTCAACATTTGCACCAATTTGGTCGCCATAACCAGGTGAACAGTAATATCCCCCATTCCTATATTTGCGTAGATAATTGTGAAGAACAACAGTAGCTTGAACAATTTGCTCAACCATTTCAGTTGAAGCAGCTATAGTTCCTCTTAATATGCGCCATCTCTGACATAAAATTCCAAAGGCATTCTCAACTGTTCTTCTTGCTCTAGAGAGCCTATAATTAAAGATATTTTTTTCAATGCCTAAATATCGGCCTGGATATGGGCGTATTATATTTTCCGCCAATGGAAATGCAGCATCCCCTATCACAAAATGTGGGAGTATGGTGTTACTACCTGGAAGTTTCTTCGGGGCGGAATGGGGAGTGTTCCATTAAGAAGTGCTTTACCAAAACAGCTCTCTCTTAGTGTTTCAGTACTCGTGTATTTATTAGTTATAAATGTCGAATTTGACGGAGCAATTTGACGCAAAATTAATCGAACTTGTGCAATGTAATGAATGTCTGTACGACCCACTATCACCAAACCACAAGAATAAAATAATTTTGGAAAATACTTGGTTGAAAATAGCAACCACATTGCAAGCTACAGGTAAATTGATTATAGTAAGAAAATTTTAACCGTTATCTGTACTATGTGCTGTCTTAGCACTTAGCACTGTGCTGTCATGATTTCTACCTGATGCACCAATGTCTATTGTGATAAAATTGTATTCAGCATCTACTGCTGCCATTAGAATGATGCTAAAACTATTTTTATAATTATAAAATTCACTTCCGGACTTGTTTGGTGCTTGAATATGAATATGTTTTCCGTCTATTGCACCAATGCAATTCGGATGTTGCCATCTTTGTGAAAAAGCTGTTTCAATTCTGTAAAAATCCTCTCTTTCGGGCGTTGGCATCACTTTTGGCTGTAAAATATGCCAGAGAGCAGCTGTTGTCTCCTTAACTACAACATGTACAGTAGCTTTTCCTACACGATAGTTCCATGCCATCTCCTGCATTGAGCAGCCTTCAGCTAGATAACTACAAACCAAACAAAATAAATAAATGAAACATACAATTATAATATATTATAATACGTTAGGAGCACACATTTCAATAACGCATACTTACTGCAAAGTAATTATCAGACGGTGAGCCGGAGACAAAGCTTTTCTCTTTGGTTTTTTGGTCAAAGACGGTCCTACCAATTCTAATAAATATTTAAATTCTTTAAAGGACATTCTGACATATTTAAAAAATTGTGCTTCGTCTTTTTCTTTTTTTAGCATATCTGCTATTAATGTAGCAAAATGACCTTCCGTTTCGCGATTTTGGTTGATAGGCCTTCGTAAAAACCGACGACGAATTTTAATTTTTTTTCGCATAACAATACTAGCTGCAGCTAGACATGCTGTTGTTGTAGCTACAACAATTTTTTTCGATCCATGATAATACACAGCGAGGTAATAATACACGATGATAATACACAACAATACCACAGCACCAGTGGAACTTTTTCTGACAGTTGTATATATTACAACTACTATAGTTCTTGATATTACAGTTTTCTATTAGTAATTGGTAATAAATTATAAATATTTTCGATTGTACGTTGTTTATTTAACAACATATTTCATTAATTTATTATCTATTTTTTGCTATACTAAATTAAAATAATCAACATACTTCTTATTGGTAAATTTTAAAATCTTAAGAATTCTTAAGCTTAAACTTAAAGTTGCTTCCTAAACGGGTCAGCTGTAAGCTTTGAATCTTTCTCTATCTAAAACCGGTTGTATATTAAGAAAATATATTAAAAACTGTTATCACAGTCAGAAAGAGCGCTCCTTCAGCTACCTCAATCCGGGTTTTCGTCGGTCAATATCTATCGGCGTCATGCTTAAATCACCCTTAATATCCATCCCTACACGCGGAAACGCTTAAATACCCTTTCTCTAAACAACTTTCTTATTTGATAGGGGGAAAACTATAGAAGTATATCTATCTTATCGAAAATCTTCTGCTTTTTCTAATGGTATATAACACGCGGCGATCACGCGCTTGCACAAGTACGTCATTGGCCAAATACTGCTAAATTCATACGTTTTAACCATTTTTAAACCATGTTCGGGTCGATAACTTTCTTATATGATTACGAGAAAACTCTAGAACTATATCTATCTTATCGAAAATTTCCTGCTCTTTCTACTAGTGCAGTGGTCGGTAAACTTATTAGCCAAAGAGCCAAATATGAACATTACAAAAATTTAAAAAAAGAATTGGGAGCCAAATCTGCTTATTTAGTAAACTTTTATTACACTAAATAAGTAGTACACTCAATAAAACTAAATATCATACTTAATAAATATTTATTAACGCGAACAATGTGCTTGCATCTCCTTGGAAAGTTTGAGTAAGTCAGGTTTGTATGTTGTAGTTTTTAATTTTAGGCATGATTCCAAGTTCTCATCAATAAAACGACTTCTCAGTTTACTCTTGATAATGTTCATGCTTGAAAAAGATTGCTCGCATATGTATGTAGAACCGAAAAGGGAAAGAACAGCAAACGCGAGTTTTTTCAGCTGATCGTAAGAGTCAGGAATATTATTCCAAGCGTTGAAAATAATCATGTCTTCCTTATCCAGGTCATTCAAGGCAGACTACTTGTGTTTTTCTTCTGCAATATTTACAAATTCAACACAAAGACGTTCGAATTTAGAGCGCCATATCTCCGTGTTTTTTAAATCCAGCAATTGTATTTCAAAGATACCAATGTCAATTTGAAAAGGAGAAAATTTCAACTCGGTTATCGTAGCATCAAGAGGATTTTTAACAAATGCTAAAGTTGCTCTGCTGTTTTTAAAGTCCTGAAACCTGCTGAGAAATGCTTCCCTCATATTTAAAATTATTGTTTTAAAATGGTGTTTATCAATAGAGGAATTAGTTTCTTGGCGATGCTTCAGCAGGCTCGGAAAGTGAAACAATGTTTCCCTTTCAAAATCCTGAGCAAAAATGGATAATTTGTTTTCGAATGTTATTACTTCTTCTAACATCGAAAAAATTAAGTTTCGTTTCCCTTGTAGTTTACGATTAAGCTGATTTAGATGAGACGTAACGTCTACCATGAAATAAAAGTTTTGGATCCACTGATTTTCTGTTAGTTCTGGATAGTGAACGCCCTTCTCAAGGAGAAATGCTTTAATTTCCGGAAAAAGGGACGCGAAACGTTTTAAAACGTTCCCTCTTGATAACCAACGTACCTTGTTATGAAGCAGAAGATCAGCGTACTCACTCTCCATTTCAAATAAAAAATTTTTGAATTGGCGATGATTAAGAGCTTTAGCTAAAATGGAGTTGATAATGGTAATCACTAATTCCATAACTTTACAAATTTCATCCGGAAATGTTTGCGCACAAAGCGCTTCTTGGTGAATGATACAATGGTAAACAAGTATCTCGTGATTAATTTTTTCTTTCAAAATAGCAACAAACCCTTTTCTTACCCCGGTCATACTTTTGGCCTCATCTGTTGAAATCGACACAATTTTATCGAGGGGAATATGATGTTTATCCATACACTCAATTACAGCATTTGCGATATCTTCTCCACGCGTCTGACCTTTGAGTGGCAATAGTCCTAAAAGTTCTTCATTAGGGCCTGAATGAGACATAAATCTTACAAAAAGTGAAACTTGCGCTGTATCATTTATGTCACAAGACTCGTCAACTGCTATTGATAAAGCCGAAACCAGTTTCAGATCTTCGATATGCTGGGTGGTTATATTCGAACACATTTTAATTGTTCTATCTTTAATGGTTTTGGCAGACAATGGTAACTCTTTCATTCTTTTCAGAATAATTGCTTTGTTCTGAAAATCCCGAAATAGCTCTTCGGATGCATTTATAAAACAATTTTTTATGTATTCGCCGTCTGTGTACGGTTTCCCTCTCTTCGCAATCTCTTGGCTAACAACAAAACTTGCCATATTAATATTGCTGGAAGATTGCATCCAGTTATTAAACACAGAAGTTGACGACTCTTGACTCTTCTGAAGTTCCTCAACTGCTTTCTTCCTTGCATCACCGGTAGGATATTTAGTGCTAAATGAAGCGTGCTTTCTTGTAAAGTGTCTCTCTAAATTTGACTTCTTGTTATTCGATAGTCCATTCAAGTTTTGAATAAACGCAAAATTCTCGGTCCACTCAACTTTAAATTCGCGGTTTTCATCTTCCGTTTTTCTTTGCTTTTTTTTGGTAGCCATGTTAATTGGGGTGCCTAAGACAGGACAACGGCAGAGACGGTAGATAAGACCTAACTGTTCACCCTGCAACTGCTGGTCTGTGATGTCAATTTGTACCCTCACTACTTTACAAAAAGTATGCGCGCGCATGCTTGTGGTACTTTTGTATCACACCGTAGTACGCCGAAAACATACGAACAATTTCCGAAAACTAATAAAATTAAACTCGATGTT